GGGGTTGCAGACATGCCCGCGGGAAGCCGGAAGGTGTCTTTCCGCATACGTCCCTGCTCATGAGACATTCTCCCGCCCCCCCACCCCCTGCTCTGTCACCGGAGCTCCCAAAGAAGGCTTCGTGAGTTAGGCAAGGCGTGTGATTATTCCCGGTTCGCAGATGGACCAGCTGGGGCCTAGCGTCTCACAGCCGGTGGGGGGCACTGAGCTAGGACTGGTACCTCTCCTGAGGCTGGCAGGATGGGACAAGCAGCATGAAAGGAGGGTGAGCGCTGGGGGAGCCATAGGTCTGAGTGGAGGACGTGGGAAGCTGAGGCCCTGGCTTCAGGGCCCCTGACTCCAGTGTCTCTGTCCCCGCCCTGTTCCCTGCTGTCCTGGCCCAGGTACCAGTGCATCTTCTGCTGGGAGACCTTTGTCACTTATTATAACCTGAAGACCCACCAGCGAGCCTTCCATGGCATTAGCCCCGGCCTCTTAGCCAGTGAGAAGACACCCAATGGAGGCTACAAGCCCAAGCTCAATACCCTCAAGCTGTACCGCCTGCTCCCCATGCGGGCAGCCAAGCGGCCCTATAAGACCTACAGCCAGGGAGCCCCCGAGGCTCCCCTCTCTCCAAGCCTCAGCACGCCGGCCCCTGTAGCCATGCCTGCCAGCCCACCGCCCGGACCCCCGCCTGCCCCCCAGCCCGGCCCCCCACCCTCTGTCATCGCTTTCGCCCGCCCGGCTCCCTCTGTCATTGTGCACGGGGGCAGTAGCAGTGGTGGAGCAGGGGGTGGGCCGGCCAACACGGGGGGAGCCCAAGCTGCCTCGGTCATCACTTACACTGCTCCCCCGAGGCCCCCCAAAAAACGTGAGTACCCACCTCCTCCCCCTCAGCCTGCAGCCACGCCAACCAGCCCGGCCACAGCGGGCAGCCCGGCCACCGCCGCGGGGCCGGCCACAGCCACGGAGGAGGCCAAGGGCCGGAACCCACGGGCTGGAAGGACTCTGACCTACACGGCCAAGCCAGCCGGCGGGATTGGCGGGGGTGGGGGTCCCCCCGCGGGGCCTGGCCGGGGCCCCTCTCAGCTACAGGCTCCACCTCCACTGTGTCAGATCACCGTGCGGATCGGCGAGGAGGCCATTGTCAAGCGCCGCATCTCAGAGACTGACCTGCGCCCTGGGGAGCTGAGCGGAGAGGAGGTGGAGGAGAGCGAGGAGGAGGACGACGAAGAGGACGAGGACGAGGACGAGGACGAGGACGAGGACGAGGACGAGGAGGAATCGAGGGCTGGCGGGGAGGACCAGCTCTGGCGGCCCTACTACTCCTACAAGCCCAAGCGCAAGGCCGGGGCGGCGGGCGCGGGCGGCAGCGGGGGCGG